GTCCCCAAAAGCTCATGTCCATCTAACAATGCAAAATGCATTTAGTTCATCTGCAAGAGTCCTAAAGTCTTAACAGTTTTATATTGCCCAGAAGTCCAAGTTCAAAGTCAACTCTGAGACTCGAGGCAAACCCTTGACTGTGAGGCCCTGCAAAATCAAAAAAAAAAAAAATATATATATATATATATATATATATATATATATATATATACACACATATATATCTCCAATACACAGTGGCAAAGAGTAAACATTCCTATTCTGAAAGAGAGGAAGAAGGGCACAGAAAGATGTGATGGGCCCAAAACAATACTGAAATCCAGCTGCATAAATAGGTCCCCAACTATGTGTACATAATCTGGGACACATGGCTACACAACATGTGCTTAACAAAAGACTTGAGCCGCCTTGCTCCTTTAGCCTTGTGGTTGCAGTGCACATGAACTCTCTTTTAGCTTGATTCTATCCACAGCTAACAGTGTTTCTCAGCAGAGTCCATGTTACTGGCAGCTCTTAATTCCTGGGGTCTCCACTCCAGCTTTGACTTCACATTTACAGCTTCATGTATTGCCCTTTCAGTGGAAGCCTACAGGGATTCTGTCCCTCCTCCACTTTTCATGGCCTTCCAGGCTTTCCTTTGAAATCTGGGTAGAAGCCTCTGTGAGTCCTTAACTCAAGAATCCTGCATTCCTCCAGAACTGTCACTATGTGGCTGAGGCCCACGGTTTGTTGGCAGCTTGCTCAGTATCTGGAATCATTGCTGTAGTGGCACCTGAGTGCCTGTACTGCTCAGTATGGTGAAACAACTTCATAACCCCCTGTGTGAGTAGGGTACCCTCAAAATATCTTCTCAACAGAATTTTCCCTTTTACATCCTTGGGCCTTCAGTGGGTGTGGTGTCACAAATTCCTGAGATGACCTCAAGGCATCTTTCTTAGTACATTTAGCATAGTTTTAGGGGCTATAATTTTTTCAACAAGCATACCTTTGGCCCCAGATTTACATGCACTTTTCTGGCCAAACTGCAAATTTTAAAAATCCCTTAGCTGTTTTCTACTCCTATTTCTCACAGGAAACCTGGCTACCATTTGCCAGCAATATCCATGCCATTGACCCGATGCTGGGCTGCCTTGAAATTTCATCCACTGGATTAATTATTCCATCATTTTAAAACTCAGCCCCAAAGGGTCAGAACATGAGCAAAATGTAGATAAGTTCTTCATCAGAATATAACAGAAGTGGCCTCTAGTCCAATTTCCAATAGAATTTTCATTTCCCTCATGAGCACAGTCTGCATTCCCATTGGGATTCTGGTCTTTTGAACTCCCACCAGAATCACCCAGTAAACTCTGCTGACAAAATTCCAAAGGTTTTCTAGTTTACATCTCTAAACTTTTCAAAATTCTTCTTGCAAGCTAATTTCAAATACTTCTGAACCATATGGTCAGGTTAGTAATAGCAATGACCCCACTTCTTGGTACCATTTTCTGTTTTAGTCAGATTTTAATACACTGTGACCAAAATACCTGAAAAGAATAACTTACAGGGAAGAATTATTTGGGGCTCAAGGTTTCAGAAGTCTCAGTCCATAGATAGCCAATTCCATTGCTCTGAGTCTGAGGTAAAGCCCAACATCATGGCAGAAGGTGTGGGGTAGGAAAGCAGCTCAGGACATGGCAACCAGGAAGTCAGAGAGGGGGGAAGAGACCACAGGAAAGAGAACATGCACCCTTTGAGGGCATGCCCCCAGTGACCCACCTCCTCCAGCCATGCTCTGTCTGCCTACAGTTACCACCCAGTCAGTTCATTCAAACTAGGATGGACTGATTAGATTTCAGCTCTCAGAATCTAATCATTTCACCTCTGAATATTCCTTCATTAACAGGAGCTCTTGAGGGACATCCAAACTATAATACATTTTGTATTCCCAGCAGTGATGTATGAGAAATCAAGTCTCATCACAAGCTCAATAGCACTTTAGTATTATCAGGTTTTGTTTTGTTTAGGATTTTTTTGGGTTTGCTATTTTTGTTTTTACTTTAGCCATAATATGTGTGACATGGTAATTCCCTGACGATTTAATTTGCAATTCTCTAATTATTAATGATGATGAACACCTTTTGTGTGCTAATTTATCATATATTTATCTTTTCTGGTGAAGTGTCTGTTCAAATGTTTTTCCATTCTGAATAATATAGTTTACTTTTTATCTTGTAGAGTTGAAAATTCTATATGAATCCTGTATTAAAGTCTTCATTAGATATGTTATTTACCAATATTTTCTCCCAGCCTATTCTTTGTCTTTTCATTGTATTAACAGCATATTTTGAAATACATATGCTTTTTTAATTTGATGAAATCTAATTTATCTAATTTTACTTTCATTTATTGTGCTTTCATTGTCATTAACTAAGAAATCTTTGGCTAATCTAAGATTGCAGAGGGTTTTTTTTCCCCTGTTTTCTTTTAAGAGTTTTATAATTTTGATTTTACCTTTAAATCTATTAACTATTCTGAGTTACTTTTTGTATATGGTGTGAGAGCCATCTACAGTGGTGCACACATATAATCCCAGTTGCTCAGGAGGCTGAGAAAGGTGAACCTTGAGTTTGACATCAGCCTTTCCAATGTAGGGAAACCCAATATCCCCCCCCAAAAAATGAGTTATTAGTTTATATGGTATGAGATACAGATCAAAATTTAATTTTTTTTAAAAAATGGATATTCAGTTGTTCCTGTATCATTATTGAAAGGACTCTCCATTTCCACTGAAATATGATTATAACATTGTAAAAAATGAGATATCTATATATGTATGAATGTCTGGATTCCATATTCAGTTCTATTCATCTACTTTTTTATCTTGATAAAAACATCACATTGTTTTATTACTATAGACTTATCATAAATCTTGAAATCAAATAGTATTAGTTCTCCAACTTACTTCTTCAATTTCACAGTTGTTTTCACCATTGTATGTCCTTTGCATTTCCATATAAATTTTGGAATCATTATTTTTTGGGAGGAAGGATCGACCACTGAGCCACATCCTCAGCTCTATTTTGTATTTTATTTAGAGACAAGGTCTCACTGAGTTGCTTAGTGCCTCACTTTTGCTGAGGCTGGCTTTGAACTCGCTATTCTCCCGTCTCAGCCTCTCAAGCTGCTGGGATTCTAGGCGTGTGCCACGGCGCCCAGTGGAATCAATATTTTTTAATACATTAAAAATAATTTGCCAGGCTAGGCATGGTGGCATACAACTGTAATCCCAGATACTTTGCATGCCGAGGCAGGAGTGTCATAAATTTGAGGCTAGCCAGGGCAACTTAGCAAGACCTTGTCTCAAAAAAATCTCCTTACAAAAGGACTGGAGGTGTAGCTCAGTGGTAGGGTTCTTGCCTAGTATGCGTGAAGACCTTCAATGCTTGTTACTGAAAAACAAAACAAAACACATTTTCCAGGAGTTTAATTGACTCTTTAGGTCAATTTTGGGGAAACTGCTGTCTTATTCAATATTCAATCTTTCAACCTATGAACATATCGTTCCACTACTCTCTCACATTTTTTCATCATATTTAACTAACTTTTATGTTTTTATAGTGTTTAGGTTTATTTAGTTACAAATTTCCTTCATTTTTATATTCATTCACCTGTGACCTAACACCTTGCTAAACTTACTTCTTATTCTAGTATTTTTAATAGATCCTAGAGAATCCATTTTCTGTATACATGATCATGTTGTCTACAAATAAGAATTTGCTTTCTTTCTGGTCAATCTGAATGCCTTTTATTTCCTTTTCCTTTTCCTGTTCTTTTTCCTTATTGCACTATCTAGAACTGGTAGTGAAGTATTGTACTGAAGTGATGAGAGTAAGTATACTTGTCTTGTTCTTATAAAGGTGGAAAACATACTTGCTTTCATCTTTAAGTATGTTAGCTGTAGGGTGTTGGGTTTTTTGTTTTTTGTATGTACTCTTCATCAAATTTAGGAGGTCCCTTCTATTCCTCCTTTGATGTGAGTTTTTATTAGGAACCAAATGACACAGAAATTCTTCATGATAGAGAAATTAAAACATACTTACACAAACATCTGTACATGAATGTTTATAGCCAATTCATTTGTAATTGTCCATACCTGGAAACATGCCAAATATCCTTAACAGGTGAACAGATCACCAAAATATTAATTCCATGGCAGACAGATTATAAGGCAGCCTTCAACATCCTTAGCATCTGGTCATGCCTTTGAGTGTTGGTGGGGACTGTGACTTGCTTCACAGAATATGGCAAAAGTTGTGAGATGTCACTCTTCTGATTAGGTTACATTATACATGACTCCATCTTGCAAGCAGAATTCATTTCTGGTTCCTACTGGCCATGAAGAAGTGTTGTGAACTTCCTATGCACAGTGCAACAAGGCAGAGAACTGCAGCAGCTTTTATAACAAATTAGGAGATTTCTTAACATTCAACCAGCCTTATATTAACACTCATGACACATTATTTTCTGAGTATGCTGCTCAGTATTACATTTGCTAATATTTGAGACTTCCCTATTAATACTGCAAAAGCAACCACAACTGCGGCCAGGGCGTGCCAATACATCCCAGGTTGTGCGATTCATGAAGAAAATTTGTTCACAGAATTTTGTTCAACTGACGTCTGTGGGAAGGTGAGTGAGGGGCTGGGAGGGGTGTGAAGGGAGGTCTTATCAATTTACAGAAGTGGACCTTCCTATGCTTCGCTAGCAGCGGGCTCCAAACCTGGAAACAAGCACTCACCATACACCTCCAGGTGTCCCGGGTTCCTCCTATTTTCAGACGTTCCCCAACGTTAGCATTGGAAAACCTCCGCCCAGTCCGAGTGACACCTCAAATCCCCGCCTTCCTGGCTTGTGCTACTACGAGTCTGCGCACTGGAGATTATGACCTCTAAGCGAAGCACGTGAAGGCACTGAAGTCCCGCCCTGGCTCCACCCATCCAGGATCTAGAACCCGCCTCCGAGGACACGCGCTTCCGGTGACACTTCTGTGCTGACCTCTACGGAGCCCAGCGGAGCTCACAGAAGCCCAGCGGAGCAATGGACGGTCGGGTGCAGCTGATAAAGGCCCTTCTGGCCCTTCCCATCCGGCCCGCGGCGCGTCGGTGGAGGAACCCGATTCCCTTTCCCGAGACATTTGACGGCGATACCGACCGGCTCCCCGAGTTCATCGTGCAGACCGGCTCCTACATGTTCGTGGACGACAAGACCTTCTCCAGCGACGCCCTGAAGGTGACGTTCCTCATCACCCGCCTCACGGGCCCGGCCCTGCAGTGGGTGATCCCCTACATCAAGAAGGACAGCCCCCTGCTCCATGATTACCGGGGCTTCCTGGCCGAGATGAAGCGGGTCTTTGGATGGGAGGAGGACGAGGACTTTTAGGCCTGCAGACCCTCGGGCCTATGGCCGGTGCTCTGGGGAGGGTCAGCTGAGCCAGGCGCCCTCCCGTCGCGCCTCCCTCCCCACTCGCTAGCTAGCTCGCTCGCTCGCGTCACCGCGGTCTCCCTGCGCTGCTGTCCCCTCCCGCGTAGTGCTTGCCTTTGTTCCAGGAATAGCGCTCCAGGCTCCCGCAGCTGCCGCCACAGGGCCTCGCTCTGGAGCGGGCCCCCGCCCTGCGCTGCCAGCCCAGCCCCTCCCGTGCCCATTCGGACGCTGTCCTGTGCTCCAGCCGCACGCAGGCTGGGCCCCGTTACACACTGGACACACCACCCACAGCCGGCCACTACCGACTACTGCCAGACCAGACTGCATCGCGCTCTGCCCACACACCTGTGCTGCGCTGCCATCACCTTCCACCACACCAACCAACAGACTGCTGGTCTTGGTGATCTGGACTCTCCTTGGAGGTACCTGAGCTGGCCACAGCCCGTGGACATTGATTCACACAGCTGGCTGTCCCCATGAAAGGGCCAGCCAGACAGACCTATTCCCTCCCTACTTTCAGAGACCTTGGTAGTCAAATCCGGTCATTCATTTTCTCCTGTGGACCAGTTAGCTTCCCCCAGATTGCAGTTTTCTTCTGACTGTGCAGCTATCTCTCTGATGTGCGCGCTTTTTGTTCAATACTATAATTCCTGCACTCTTTTCCAGCTCTTCTACACTACCTGTACAAATGTCTTTTCCTTACTTTGAATAAATGACAGACACTAGTTAAAAAGAAATTGAGTCTCAGTGAATTTGGCACCTATCCCTCCTGTAAATGGGGTCCATTTCCTGTTTAAAAGCTATCTGTCCTGCCATTCAGTGGCTGATATTGACTCTTGCGTTATAAAACAGAAGATCAAATCCTGTGGTGGTCCTGGGGATAGAAAACTGGCAGCCATCCACTGGTTAATTTGGTAGACTGAGTAGGGGTAGATTGTCACCTGTCACTTTGTAAGGGACATTTCAGAAGTGAATAACCTATAGGATCATAAGCAACAGTGCTATTTGTAGCCAAAAATTTGAAGCGACATAAGTGTGATCAGAAAGAAAATGCAATGATATGTATGTATATTTACTTTTGCCCTCTTTTTTTTCATATAATTATATATATAGATAAAGATAGATAGTTTTCTTTTTTTTATGGTGCTGTGGACCGAACCCAGTGCCTCATGCATGCTAGGCAAGTGCATTACCACTGAGCCACAACCCCGGCCCCTAATAATTTTTTTTAAGAGAGAGAGAGAGAGAGAGAATTTTAATATTTATTTTTTAGTTTTCAGCGGACACAACATCTTTGTTTGTATGTGGTGCTGAGGATTGAACCCGGACCGCACGCATGCCAGGTGAGCACGCTACTGCTTGAGCCACATCCCCAGCCCCTACTTTTGCCCTCTTTTTAAACTACGGATAATAATTTTTAATTTACAGAAAGTTTACAAAAATGCTTGGCACAGTGGTGCATACCTGTAATCCCAGCTACCTCTGAGGAAGGACTGCAAATTGCAAATCTAGTTTCAGGCAGGATTGCAAATTCAAAACTATCCCGGTCAATTTAGTAAGATTTCATCTCAAAATAAAATTTAGAAAGGGCTGGAGAGGTCAGTGTTAAGCACTTGCCTAGCATGCATGAGGTCCTGGGTTCAATCCCTATTACCACAGACAAAAATTACAAAAATAGTTCAAGCAATCCCCATATTCCTTTGTCTCATTTGCTTTTTCCTTTTCCTATCTATATACCTATAAAATACATGTAATATAAAATTACAAAAATAGTTCAAGCAATCCCCATATTCCTTTGTCTCATTTGCTTTTTCCTTTTCCTATCTATATACCTATAAAATACATGTAATATGTTTTTTCTGAATCATGAATCATTATGTACATATATGTAAATATAAATGAATATATGTTACATATCAACACATATATGTATATAATGCTTTTCTGAAGCATTTGCTAGTTCATTAAAATGATAATGTGTACCTACAAATAAGCTACACCTAAGATAATATTTAATGGTTATATGTCAAATGTTTTCCACAGAGGTAACAAACTGGACAAGATTTTCCACTGTCAGCTTTTTTATTCCCAATGTCTTGCAGATCATAATTCGACCAGTCAATAAAATCAAATAATGGGGGCTGGTAATGTAGCTCTGTGGTAGAGCACTTGCCTTACAAGTAGGAGATCCTGGGTTTGATCCATAGTACCACAAAACAAACAAACAACAACAACAAAAAAAGAAATAAAGTGTCTTAAGATTGAAAAAGAAAAATAAAAGTCATTGTTTGAAGATATTATTGCAAACATAGGAAATACAAGCAAATCTATGAGTAATTAGAAATTATACATGAAGTTAGCAATTCCTCTGTATATAACATCAATATACAAAAATTTTTAAAAAAAGACAATCACAAGTATTAGTAAAGATGTTGAGAAATTGAGCCCTTATATATTGCTAGGAAAATGATACAGCCACTTTGGAAAAAGAGCTTGGCAGTTCTTCAAAATGTAGAGAGTTACTATTTACCATTCAACTCACATAGCAATTCTACTGCTAGGTATGAAGAGAATTGGAAATACACAAAAACTTGTGCATGAATGTGCATAGAAGCATTATTCATAATAGCACCAAAATAGAATAACCCCCCCAAAAAGGATGAATACACAAAATGTGGTATCTCCATACAATGGAATATTAGTCAATAAAAGGAATGAAGTACTGATAGGTACTACAAAAGAATGAGCTTTGAAAACATTATGCAAAGTGAAAGAAGTTAATCACAAAACACCACATATTATATGATTCTGCTTATATGAGATATTCAGAATAAGCAAATGTGTACATGTAGAAAGTAAATTAGTGATTACCTGGAGCTAGAGGGAAGGGAAAATGGGGAGGTCAAGGTTTCTTCCTGAGGTAATGGAAATGTTCTAAAATTAAATAATAGTAGTGGTTGCATAAGCTGAGAATATATTAAAAAGCACTAACTTGTATAATTCATTTTATTTTTTCAGTACTGGGAATTGATCACAGGTCCTTACACATGCTGGGCAAGTATTCTACCACTGAGCTACAACTCCAACCCTAACTTTATACTTTAAAAGCTGAATATTACCATGTGTTAGCTTTTATCACTGTGACCAAAATACTCAACAAGAACAACTTAGAGGAGTAAAATTTATTTTGGATCATGGTTTCAGAGGTTCAATCCATAGTTGGCCTGTTCAGTCTGGGATCTGGGTCTGAGGTGAAGTGGAACATCATGGCTAAAGAGCAGTGCAGTGAAGGAAAGCTGCTTATTACGTGGTGTCTGCAAAGCAAAGAGAGAAGGAGAATTCAGAGGGACAAGATATATTATCCCAAGGGGCACGCCCCCAGTGACACACCTCTTCTGCCTCATCCCACTGGCCTATAGTTACCACCTAGTTAATCATTTAAATTGTTAATCCATCAACTGGGTTAATTCAATGATCACAGCTCTCATAACCCAATCATTTCACCTCTGAACACTGCCTGATTAACTTTTGGAGGACACTCCATATTCAAACCATAATACCACATGTGAGTCTTCTCAATAAAGCTATTATAAAAAAGCAATTGTATTCCTATTTACTAATAACAAAATACTAGAAGTAAAATTTTAGAAATTAATACCATTTACAATCATAAATTATCAAATACTAGAAATAAATCTATAAAATATTCATCATACCTCAACACTTGAATCTACAAAATATTACTGAGATAAATTTAAAACACAATAAATCGAAGGATATAGGATATTAATGAATTGGAAAGCTCAAATTAGTTACAAGATATATTTCTCTTCAAATTTCATTTTTGGATACTATTTGATCCCAAACAAAATCAGGCAGATTTTAGAAGAAAGCACAGGTGAATATCCTTATGATATTGGGTTAGGCAAACATCTCTTTTATTTCCAGCCCTGGAAATTGAATCCAGGGCCTCAAACATGCTAGGCAAGCACTCTACAACTGAGCTATATCCCCAGCTCTCTAACACCCTTTTACTGAGATGTCCCATAATTTTCCTTAGTGTGTTTTCATTCCCTACACTGAATAATAAATCAAATTTGTTCAATTATAGTAGGGTGTTCCTGGTGGGTCTTTGCCTGGAGGGCATTAACATCAAGTATGTATAAAAAGAGTTGCTGCCAATCAAAAAGAAGGTAAATAAATCAATAAAAATATTTGAAATTTGTGAACGAGCATTTCATTAAAAAGCATAGCAAAATGGCCAAAAAGCAATAGAGAGGTACTTAATATTATTAGTAATAATAGAAATGCAGCCCTCTCTAGTGTGTTGAGCGCATGAGTCTCTGCTCTTGCAAGGTCGCTGTGGAGGACTATGTTGTTACAGAACATTCTGCTCACCAGTTAGCGCGCACAGCTGGGAATGGGCTGGGTGGCATGGCGGGGCAGGCAAGGTTGGCCTGTGCTTTGGACTGCAAGTGTTCCAGACCAGGTACTCCAGGGGTTGGAAAAACTACACTAGGCAAAGAACTTGCATCAAGATCAGGACTGAAGAGCTGGGATTGTGGCTCAGTGGTAGAGCGAGCACGGGCGGGACCCAGGTTCAATTCTCAGCACCACATAAAAATAAAGGCATTGTATTGTGTCCATCTACACCTAAAAAAATAAATAAATATAAAAAAAAGATCAGGACTGAAATACTTTAATATGGGTGATTTAGCTCAAGAAGGGCAGTTACATAATGGCTATGATGAAGAGTATGATTGCCCCATTTTAGATGAAGATAGAGTAGTTGATGAGTTAGAAAACCAAAAGAGAGAAGGTGAAACTATTGTTGATTACCATGGTTGTGATTTCTTCCCTGAATGTTGGTTTCACATAGTTTTTGTGTTGAGAACAGATAACAGTGTATTGTACAAAAGACTTGAAACAAGGGGTTATGGTGAGAAGAAATTAAAAGATAACATTCAGTGTGAGTTTTTTCAAGTTCTTTATGAAGAAGCCATAGCATTCTAAAAGAAGAAATTGTGCACCAACTGTCCAGCAATAAACCAGAAGATCTAGAAGATAATATATCCGATCCTGAAATGGATTGAGCAGTGGGTCAAAGATCATAACACTTGACTGGCCACTTTACAATCACTCTTATTGATACCTTTCTGCCCACTTCATAGGAATTGACAACATATTATTAAAATTATTATTAAATAATATTATTAAAATCACATTGCAGGCCTAGCAGGTGCATAATGTAAAGGTTTGTGCCTGGGTCTCTTTTTCTCCACATGAAAGCTAAACAATGTCAAATATAATGAATATAATATTAAAAGTATAAATTGTCATTTAATGCTTCAGTTACTAAATAATAAATATGACCAAAGGGGTTGACATTCTTTATGCTTATTATAGAAGAAAATGCAAATGATTTATTAAAATAAAAAACAAAGCATCAAAAAAGAAATGCAAATTTAAAACATAATGTGATATCACCACAGACCATCAACCTACACTTCAGTAAATAAAAATGAACACTTGAAACATACAACATAGATGAATCTCACAGATACAGAATAAATTCTATATTGTTGCACGTTTTCATTTGTAAGAAGTTACAAAACAGGTAAAAAATTTATCTTTGGTGATAGAGGTAGAAAAATTTTTACACAAATTTATTTATCTTTGGTGATACAGGTTAGAAGAGTGTTAATATAAATGTGTAATTTGAAGTTTTTAAAGAACA